TTCTTCCACCTTAGAAACATTAGCAAGATAAGGGACTGCCTATCTCTAGCAGATACTGAAAAGCTAGTTCATGCATTCATTACATCTAAGCTAGATAACACCAACTCGCTACTATACGGACTGCCCAAATTCCTGATAGATCGCTTACAAAATGTCCAGAATGCCGCAGCTCGTGTCGTCACTCATACAAGAAAGTACGACCATATCAAACCTATCTTAAAGCAGCTGCACTGGCTCCCAGTTAGCCAGCGCATAGATTACAAGATACTACTTCTCACCTACAAAGCGCTCAACGGCCAGGCCCCCAGTTACATCACTGAACTGTTGAAGCCTTATGTAACGACTAGAAATCTGAGGTCCTCCTCTAAAAATTTACTTAAAGTACCATCTGTTAAGCTAGCAAGTTATGGTCATAGGTGTTTCTCTTTTGTAGCACCAACTCTATGGAACTCTCTTCCAAACAACATAAGAGTGAGCGGCTCGCTGTCACGTTTTAAGACCTGTATGAAGGCATACCTTTTTAACAAATTTTATGATTAGACTACACCTTACTGAGCTATTTAATTATATAAGTAGTAAGTTAGGCCGCTAGATAGTTAGCCAGTAAATTAGTTGATTAGTTGGTGAGCTAGTTAATTGGCTAGGAAATTAGTTAATTTCAATATAAGTTTAAGTTTTTACTCTCATTATTGCAGACTACCTTATTAGCTAGTTTCTTTTACTCATGTTTTAGAGATTTTTATGGTTTTTATGATCTTATCGGTCCGACTTATAAAATCACTGTACAGCGCTATTGGATAGTGATAGAAATAGCACTATATAAATACCGTACTATTATTATTAGTACTATTAAGGTGTGGTGATCTCATGGTTAGCGCTTGACTCTGCATTGAGTGGTCTGTGTTTAAGCTTTGGCTGGGGACATTGTGATGGGTTTTTCAGGTGAGACACTCTCTAACAGTGCCTCTGTTCACGCGGTTGTTTAAATGGGTGCCAGCAAATTTAATGCTGGGGGGGTAACCTTCCAATGGCCTAGCATCCCATACAGGAGGTAGTCAAAATACCCCTGGTTGCTTCATGCTATGGAAACTGGAGTTAAGCGCCAGTCTGATGGCCTCTTGGCTTGATACCAACTTAACCTAAGGGCAGTGATCTGCATTCCATGAAGAAGGGGTAGTAACACTGCCTCTTGCTTCTTGTTGAGGAAATCAGGATGAGCTCTTACTGGGAGAATGAGCTAGTTAAGGCTTTAAAGACTTAAAACTCAACCTAATTAAACCTAAGGTTTTGTTTTTTGGGTTACCTTTTCAAGACTAAAAAGACTGCTCTATGTTGTTATTGTCCCAGAATCACAGAATTATATTTTTGTTCATGTCAGCATGACAGAGCTCTCTTCAAAAGGGAATCTTTGTCCAGGGGTTTCATTAATTTTTTTCAGCAGGAGGGCAACTGGTTTTCACAGGCGGGCAAAACTTTTTGAACTAAACTTCTTTATAAGATAAACCTTCCTCCAGATTGTTAAACCAGGTGGGCAAAACCATCCTTACAACTGGTCAATTTGGTCAGTGCCCGGCCCTTAAAGAAACCCCTGCATCATTGACCAAGACAGAATTTCTCCCAACAATATCATACAATATCAAGCAAAGAAGGGATGAGAATAAAGAAAACATCAATTATGGGATTATTAGAATATCCAATGTCAAATTCTCCAAGCCAGCATCATAAGAATTATGCATGACTTGTATGGCAGACAGTCGGGAGAATTACTAGTGAGATCTTGGGAATAAAATTGTGTTTGGGTGTGAATACATTATACCTTGACCGGGAGATGATAAGCGAGTGACGCTAGAACCTCATGATGTTAGACACTGCAATCAAAACACCAAC